AAAAAAAAAAAAAAAAAGCAAAACTATGAATGCTCTCACAGCTAACCAACCAAAAATTGCACTCTCTGTGGCCAAGCAACTGAAAGTAAATTCACAAAACAAGTGAACTAAGATCTCCTATCCAGCAATCTAAACTACCCACATACATATTTGATAAGTAAGTGTCACAATAAACAAAGTGGAATACGCTAACTGAACAGCATATTCAAATAAAAAAACCCCCATAAAATATGACTTATTCCAACAGCCATCAATAAAAAAAACCAACAATTCACGAAGCACCATCCAAACAACATACATGAATTACCATCCAAGGTAAACGAATTATTTAAAGGAAAAAAATACAGTGCAATAAAAGGCTGTACCAAAACCCTAGAAACGAAAATCAATCGATCACAATTCCAAAAACACAAGAAGCGAATACCTGCTATCATCAAGTCACACCATAAAAAATCAAAACCTAAACACTTGAACAAAAACAAAAACCGAAAGGGTGACTGGGTGAGGAAGAGGAAAAGGTTCGTTCTACGAGAAACGAGGAAAAAAGGGCTCACCTGGCCCTTGACTTTGAGATTGATGTGCGCGGCTGAATCGCCACCGGAAGGCTTCTTATCGTCCTCTACGGTCGACATCTTTTACTCCGGCGGCCTATTAATTGTTTGCCTCGCTTTTCCCTTCTCGAACTGACTGTGCAGCCAACTCTTCGCTGCTTTTAATCAGTTCTGGGATCAAGGGCTGATGTGTGTTTTACACTGTAGATATCTGTTGTGTCCATCTGTGCCGTTGATGTATCAATAGCATATGGTATCCAAAAAAGCCCATTAATTTTATTTTGAGTCAAAATTAGGGGTGTTCATTGACCGGTTTTAAAAAAAAAAAAAAAAAAAAAAACCGTCAATCCAGACCACGGATCGATTAAATGGTCGGTTAAAAAATTCTTAAAAAATCCGTTGGTTAATTTTTTTTAAAAAATCTGGAATAACCGGTCCGGTTAACGGATTATTGTTTAACCGGACCGGTAAATATTAAAAAATTATAATAGAATTCCAACAGAAATATATTCTACTAGAATTATTCCAACGACAATTCCAACGGATATTTCAATACTATTATTTTCGTTGGAATTTTTCAATGGATTCCAACGGAAATTCCAACGGGGGTGGAAATAAAAATTTCAATAGAAATTGCATATTCCAACGGAAATTCCTACGGTAAAAAGTCGTTGGAAATATAGCCGTTGGAATTATCAAATTCCATCTAAAATTCCAATGAAAAAAACACATTCCAACGAAATATTTCCGCTGGAATTTCCGTTGGAAGCATTCCAACGGAAGCTTTACGATTGGAATATCTGTTGGAATTTCCATTGGATATATTACCATAGGATTTTCTGTTGGAATATAACAATTTTTTTGTAGTGAAACTAGAAGCGAGGGTTCAACACGTACCGTTTAATATTTTGGCGACTCTGAGACGTTTCTGATTTTCATTGTTGGAGATTGTCTGAAACATAGAGTCTGTTAGGCAGCCGGACTTGTCCTGCTAATCACCGGATTGTTCCCCATTTATAACGGACCGTCCCGGACTCATCGCGGACTCACTGGAGCTCCCTGAACCATCTGGTTCACTGCTAGACCGTCCCTGGACCGAGTTGGAGTGAGCTAGGCCGGTTTTGTGCAGTTTTGGCCGCTACACATCGTTGGGCCGCTGTCCACGATGGTGGGCCTCGCTGGAGCATGCCATTGGGCCGCGGTGATTGGCTGGAGCAAATGGGCTTTATCGGGCTTCTCGAGGTCCGTGCGCGGGCTGTAGGTGAGAGAAGACGCGGGCTGGGTGCGGGCTGAGAGCTGTGAGGGACGTGGGCCACAGAGCACACGCGCTATCTTCCTTTTCCGCGGGGCCTCCGTGCTTGTTGGGCTTCCTTCTCACTTGGGCCGCGCGACAAAGGCTGCTCCATGCTGGGCTGCGAAGCGTCGGGCCTCTCCATGCGGGCTGTTGGCACCTGGGTTGCGCGCGTCTGCCATGCGTGCTGGGCTCTGACCCAGTGGCTGCTGGCCATCTACTACGCGCTACAGCGGCTCGTCGGGGCTCGCTTGCCCGGCTGCCTTGGCCGGTCGTCGCCGAAATGTGATCGGAGGGTCGTCAGAAGTCCCCGATCGCTGTAAGATGGTTACCGAACGATTTCAATATATTTAATTGACATAATTCTTGCTTTTCGTTAAGAACAGACAATCCCGTGAATTATAGAAACATTACGGGGTTGAATATAGGTTGGATAAATATATATATAAATAATTCGATCACCTTAGATCTTCTGTTGTATGACCCGACATCTTCTCCGATCATCTGGTAGGTGACAAAATCGGATATCTGTCTACTAGGATTACTTGGAGAAAAAGAATAGAACACAAGAGAGAGAAGAGAAAACAAAGGGGGCGGTGTTGACATCATTTTCAGTAAACCGAATTAAGCGACACTGATCAGATGATTATGTTCAGTAGGAGGATGATTAAATTCGTACAAGTAGATGATGTCTTCACAGATCTCAAGACAATCACATATCGGGTAAAAATTCATCAAGAATCGACATCGTCGTCAATTGACCGATATCTCATGTCAGTTATGACATGTCGGTTACTACATGTCGGATATGACATATCGATTATAACCACACGAGCTGATATCTATGACTTGCTAGACCGACGACACAAGGCGGTGCCAACTCAGCACAACTCATCATTACACCTGGCCAAGTGGCGCGCTACCAGGATGAATGGCAATTAGCCGCCGTTGACTATTCTCGTGTAATGATTACATATTAGATAAATGTTATAAATAAATATAAAAGGAGAAAAAAAGTTCTCCAGCCAAGGAGGACACACAGACAATAATATGCAAAAAAAAAAATTCTATCTCATTTAACTGTTCATGAAGATTTTGTTAATCTATCTAGAATTTACAATAAATCCCTATTGATTATATAGTTGTTAATTCTTGTTTAACAACAGTTTGGCGCTAGAGGAAGGGCCTCATCACGTTTTGAGGTTAACTTTCGTTGTTAAAGCCATTTTCGCGCGTGAAGTAACCATGTCGCAGTCTGCTCGAGACCATACAACTCAACCTGGCCAGAGCCAATCGACTAACCATTCTCCACGGCGTTCAACCCCACCCCCTCCGGTCACGAATATCACGAACTTTCTTCAAAACCCGGAGTTTATTCAAGGTTTAACCTCTTTGATAGCTCGAGCTATACCTAGAAACTCGAGTACGGTTCCGTTATCAACGCCATTAACTACCAATCCAACAGAACATCCAAATCATACTCATCATGACCCCGAAAAACACGCAGCGACATCCCATGCTACGTCACAACCGCGCCATACTTCTCCACGCCGAGAAGAGTTAACTCGTATGAACGCTAATCCAGTAACGAACAATCAAGCCCCGAAGGAAACCCCCGTACAGGAAATGACTGCTGAAAGCCATTCTGCTCATCATCAGCGAATTCCGTCACGTCCTAGACTTGCTTCACCAACGCCTCATGTTCGTGAAGATTTACGGCGCCAGATTGAACGGAATCGTACCTCAAGACATAGCGCGGAGGAAATTGAAGCTCTCCGTAAACGCTTGGCCGAACTCGAGACTCGACAGAAGTCACAGGAAGATTCTCCCCGACATGTCTCGACGTCGGGAAATATCATTATTGAAGCTGATTCACCTTTAGCTCCGGAACTTACCGTGGAGGCACTCCCAGCTAAGGTAAAAATCCCACAAATTGGCATGTATGATGGAACATCGGACCCAGATGCGCACTTGGGTCATTATACGTCTTGGATGGATTTGCATGGTGCCTCGGATGCTTTGAGATGTCGGATGTTTTCGCTTACACTGGGGCCACGAGCACAAAAATGGTACTATACTCTCCCACCTCATTCAATTTGGAAGTGGCAACAGTTATGTGCGGCCTTCCGATCACACTTCATTGGAGCTCAAATTTGTCTCATCCCAAAAGAATCAATTACTAACATCGTGCAAAAGGACGACGAGACTGTTAAGGACTACGTATCTCGGTTCAACGACCGAATTCAAAACATGGAGCCTTGTCACCCAGAGACCCTGTTAGTAACTGCAATCGCTGGACTGAAGCCCAACTCGATGTTTCGCTGGACCTTGTGCCAAAACAAACCGGCCACGTTTCAAGAATTTCTTGTACGAGCTCAACAATTTATTATTGCCGAGGAATCGATGTCGGTTCCCAGTTTCGACTTCTCGGCGAAAGAAAACAAGACTGAACCGGACACCAAAAAGAAGAACAAGAAGAATTTTGGGAAAGCAAAATTTCAGAATTTCTCCAAAGGATATGAAAACACTCCAGAGTCTAGGGCCGCTCGTGATCAGTATTCAGACAACGTCAGGACAGGCTATCAGGCCGTTTATTCAGCCGGAGCAGCCACTATATATGAAGAACTGAAGGGAAAAGGGATTATTCCAGACCCGAGGCCTGTGAGAACTCTTGAAGACAAGCTAGACAAAACTCGGTACTATGCATACCACAAATCTCCGGGACATAATACCGATGAGTGTCTCGGTCTTTTGTCAGCTCTCTTACGGTTAATTGGACAACCTCAGCTCCAAAAGTTCTGAAATTTTGACAATCGCCGGAAAGGGAGGCCCTTGGATCTTTCAGATGATGAAGATGATGATAACCGACCTGTTAACCCGAAAAGAGCCCGTGCAAACGATAAGGAGGTTTTCACGTTTTCTACTCTTGTCGGAACTTCGACTGATAACTGCAGGAAATCCAGGATATATGATACCTTAGACTCTTCACACTGCATACCTCGAGTCAATTCTAATAACAAACAGCTGGATACTTCTCGACGGAAAGCCAAAGCCTATGCTCGGGAGGCACAAAATGCCGAGAAGCGAGTCATGAACGTTGATCTTCGAGATACCATCAACAAACGGAATTGTCCTATCACATTCAGTATCGAAGATGCTAATCTATTTGCTCATCCTCATTCTGATGCCCTTATTATCACAGCTCCGATTGGAGGGATCCCTGTTCACCGAATTTTGGTCGACACATGAGCTTATTCAAGTATTCTGATGCTCCGCACTTTTAAGAAATTGGGTTTGGACCCAACAGACATTAGGCCTTGCAACGACCAAATTCAAGGTTTCAATGGAAGCATCTCTTGCCCTGTCGGCGAAATATTGCTCCCTATTCGATTTGGTGGCTTTGGACCAAAATCCAAGATTATTATGGAAACTTTCAAAGTCTTGGATGTCCAGAATGAATATAATGCTGTTATAGGACGAACTGAACTTTACAAACTTCATGCTACTGTGTCAATTTTCCATTATGCCCTGAAGTTCCCCACCATTGAAGGAGAAGGCACTTATTACGGAGATCAACGAGAAGCCCGAAGTCTGACGTTGCTCTCAACCTCGCGTAACTTTCATATGATTGAAGAGCAGGATACTGATAACTCTATTGGGTTGAACAACCCAACTCTTAATGCTGGAAGAAATGATCAATTCGCTCCAGATACCGACATCCCTCTTGCAGTGACCGATGTCCCCATGACGTCGGTTTTGCCCGAAACATTAACTAAAGCCATTGATCAAG